AAAACTTCGCGGACGTGGTCGCACCTCTCACTAGCCTCACTAGTGTGTTGAGACCTTTTGTGTGGACCTCTGCGTGTCAGAGTGCGTTCCGGGCTGTTAAGACTCTCCTGTGCAGTGCGCCAGTGCTGGCCGCCCCTGATTTTGCACGCCCTTTTAAGTTGGAAGTGGACGCCAGTGCAAACGGGGCAGGTGCCGTATTGCTGCAGGAAGACCATCATGGTGTGGATCACCCAATCGGCTATTTCTCAAAGAAATTCAATGTCCATCAGCGAGGGTACAGCACGATTGAGAAAGAGGCCCTCTCTCTGCTGTTTGCATTGCAGCATTTCGAGGTGTATGTCGGTGGCAGTCCCTCGCCTGTGATTGTTTATACCGACCACAATCCCTTGGTATTCCTAATGCGGATGCGGAACTCGAACCAAAGGCTGATGAGGTGGTCCCTCCTGGTGCAGGACTTCAATTTGGAAATCCGTCATAAAAAGGGCACAGAGAATGTGTTAGCGGATGCCCTATCCCGTGTTTTCCCTTAAACATGACTGTCCAAAACATCTACAAAGGAGATGTCTTTGATTTTGGGAAGGGGGGTGTTACGGCTGTGGCCATAAGAACACTGTGTGGGCTGTTTGTTCTGTGTCTCTTTACTGTGCTTAAGACTCTCTACAGGTACCTCCCCTAATGAAGAGTAGTGAGCTGATTGGACCATGGAACAGGTGACCACATTCAAAAAGCCGCTCTGACAGCTCCAGGGAGAGAGAGAGAGAGTGTGGAACGAGCGAGTAGCCTGACAGCCGTCGCAGTCCTGACCCTGGTTTTCCCAGCCTGCGTTTATCTTGTGTATTTGTGGGAGTGTGAATTGTAAGCTTAGGCACTCGTGGGCTGAAGCGGAAGGGGTGAGCTGCCTTTTCTTTTGGAATCGTTTTCTCCTGTTTTCTTGGTCAGGGAGCGAGGGATAGCTCTGTCATTTGTTTGTTCTTTTTTCTTTCTTAGGGTTTAGTTAGTCTTTTCTGGTGGGACTTAGTTGGTTTTGTTTATTATTTTGGCCTGGGCTCACCCCGGAGCTATGCTTCTTGTCCTTAAATAAAATCACTTTTTTACTTACAACTGGTTTGGATGTTTGGCTTGGGAACCAGGGCGGGGATTTGGTCTCTCTCTCCTCCAACCTTATGTGCGTCCCTACCCGCCTAGACTAGGGGCGTAACAGTTGCTCAGAGACAGTTGCTCCCTCTAGGGCCTCCCCAGAGGCTGGGTGTCAGTCACCAGCCAACTCTGGACCCCTAGAGGTCAAGACACCAGCACCAGCAGCCTCACCGGAGAACTCACCAGAACAGCCTCGGCTCTCAGCACCCCCTGAGAGTTCAAGTGAGTTCACCCGTCCGCCTCAATCCTCTGCTAAGTGTATTGGGGAACACTTTCAGCCCTCTGAGGACTGTATCCCACTGTTGCTGCCTGAGTCTAGCCAAAGTGCTGCTCAGTCCCAGCCAGTGTCCCCACTGGCAGAGGTCTCCGTACCTGCTGCTTCAGAGACTGGTTCCACTGGAGGGCCTGAGGAGCCCGTCCAGTCTCAAGTCATGTTAGCTGGGGGTTCAGGTGAACCCAGTCAGCGTCCTGCCTCGTTGGCTGGAGGACCTGAGGAGCTCGTCCAGTCTCACGTCATGTTAGCTGGGGGTTCAGGTGAACCCAGCCAGCGTCCTGCCTCATCGGCTGGAGGGCCTGAGGAGCCCGGCCAGCCTCAAGTGTCGTCTGCTGGGGGTTTAGGAGAACCCAGCCAGCCTCAAGTGTCGGCTGCTGGAGGGCCCGAGGAGCCCGTCCAGCCTCATGCCACGTCTGCTGGAGGGCCCGAGGAGCCCGTCCAGCCTCATGCCACGTCTGCTGGAGGGTCCGAGGAGCCCACCCAGCACCACGCCTCGTTAGCTGAGGGTCCTGGAGGACCCAGCCAGCACATCCTCACATCTGCTGGTGGTCCTGGAGGACCCAGCCAGCACATCTCCACATCACCTCCTGCAGCATCACCGCCGTCAGGTTCTGCAGCCGTCCCGCTGCCGTCAGGTTCCGCAGCCGTCCCGCTGCCATCATTCGCGCCTGGTCCGGCCTCCGCGTCCTCATCTGCGCCTGGTCCGGCCTCCGCGTCCTCATCTGCGCCTGGTCCGGCCTCCGCGTCCTCATCCGCGCCTGGTCCGGCTTCGGCTCCGCCTTCGTCTGGTCCGGCCCCGTCTGGTCCTGTGGTTGCCACGCCGCCGTCAGTGCCAGCTCGACCCGTTCCGCCTCGCCTCTGCCGGCCGTTTTCCGGGCCTCTAAGATGGCATCATGGCCTTCGGGGACGGCCTCCGGAAGGAGTTCGTCGCCGCCGCTGGCATCGCGGCCGTCCTCCGGACCTGCTCAGTGGCCGCCACTACCTTCCAAGAGGTCGGCCTCCAGAACTGTTTGCCCGTCGCCGCCGTTGCCATGTGCACGGTCGGCCCCCAGAACTGTTTGCCCGTCGCCGCCGTTGCCGTGTGCACGGTCGGCCCCCAGAACTGTTTGCCCGTCGCCGCCGTTGCTGTGTGCACGGTCGGCCCCCTGACTGTGTTATGGACTAGTGGACTGTCGTGTTTTGGTTCTGGACTCTCGTGCTCCTGGTTTTTTGTGTTTCGGGCCCTCCTTCCTGGGCTCCCTCTAGGGCCTCCCCAGAGGCTGGGTGTCAGTCACCAGCCAACTCTGGACCCCTAGAGGTCAAGACGCCAGCACCAGCAGCCTCACCGGAGAACTCACCAGAACAGCCTCGGCTCTCAGCACCCCCTGAGAGTTCAAGTGAGTTCACCCATCCGCCTCAGTCCTCTGCTAAGTGTATTGGGGAACACTTTCAGCCCTCTGAGGACTGTATCCCACTGTTGCTGCCTGAGTCTAGCCAAAGTGCTGCTCAGTCCCAGCCAGTGTCCCCACTGGCAGAGGTCTCCGTACCTGCTGCTTCAGAGACTGGTTCCACTGGAGGGCCTGAGGAGCCCGTCCAGTCTCAAGTCATGTTAGCTGGGGGTTCAGGTGAACCCAGCCAGCGTCCTGCCTCGTTGGCTGGAGGACCTGAGGAGCTCGTCCAGTCTCACGTCATGTTAGCTGGGGGTTCAGGTGAACCCAGCCAGCGTCCTGCCTCATCGGCTGGAGGGCCTGAGGAGCCCGGCCAGCCTCAAGTGTCGTCTGCTGGGGGTTTAGGAGAACCCAGCCAGCCTCAAGTGTCGGCTGCTGGAGGGCCCGAGGAGCCCGTCCAGCCTCATGCCACGTCTGCTGGAGGGCCCGAGGAGCCCGTCCAGCCTCATGCCACGTCTGCTGGAGGGCCCGAGGAGCCCGTCCAGCCTCATGCCACGTCTGCTGGAGGGTCCGAGGAGCCCACCCAGCACCACGCCTCGTTAGCTGAGGGTCCTGGAGGACCCAGCCAGCACATCCTCACATCTGCTGGTGGTCCTGGAGGACCCAGCCAGCACATCTCCACATCACCTCCTGCAGCATCACCGCCGTCAGGTTCCGCAGCCGTCCCGCTGCCGTCAGGTTCCGCAGCCGTCCCGCTGCCATCATTCGCGCCTGGTCCGGCCTCCGCGTCCTCATCTGCGCCTGGTCCGGCCTCCGCGTCCTCATCCGCGCCTGGTCCGGCTTCGGCTCCGCCTTCGTCTGGTCCGGCCCCGTCTGGTCCTGTGGTTGCCACGCCGCCGTCAGTGCCAGCTCGACCCGTTCCGCCTCGCCTCTGCCGGCCGTTTTCCGGGCCTCTAAGATGGCATCATGGCCTTCGGGGACGGCCTCCGGAAGGAGTTCGTCGCCGCCGCTGGCATCGCGGCCGTCCTCCGGACCTGCTCAGTGGCCGCCACTACCTTCCAAGAGGTCGGCCCCCAGAACTGTTTGCCCGTCGCCGCCGTTGCCATGTGCACGGTCGGCCCCCAGAACTGTTTGCCCGTCGCCGCCGTTGCTGTGTGCACGGTCGGCCCCCAGAACTGTTTGCCCGTCGCCGCCGTTGCCGTGTGCATGGTCGGCCCCCAGAACTGTTTGCCCGTCGCCGCCGTTGCTGTGTGCACGGTCGGCCCCCGGACTGTGTTATGGACTAGTGGACTGTCGTGTTTTGGTTCTGGACTCTCGTGCTCCTGGTTTTTTGTGTTTGTTTTAGCGTACTGGAACTTATCTTTATCACTCTGTTAATGTTTATAATGTTTTAACCTTCAGCATTGTGTGTGGACTTCACTGGTGCCTACTATGCCTGGTGTATTATTGGTTAGTTATGTCACCCGCCTGTTAGTATATTTTATTTCTATGTTGTATTTTATATTTGTATTTATTATTGCTCTTAACTCATTCTGGGAAGCACTTTGGCATGTGCTATATAAATAAAATTGTATTGTATTGTATTTACTGGAGTAAAGAATTTGAATCAGTATTTGAACTTTTAGTACAAATGACACTAACACTAAACAACTAAACAAATGGGAATGAATGATCTGTCAGGCTGCTGGTAACAAAGTGCCTAAAGAAGCAACTTAAAATGTATTTTCTGCTGAGCTGGCTGTGATGAGGCAGAGTTGGGCGGCTTAACAAGCCAAGAATAAAAAAATCATTCCTCTGAAAATGCTCAGGCACAAGCACAAGTGCAAAAACAGCCCACTGTGGAGACCTGCTGCTCAGGACCACTTTAAAACATTACAACAAAGTCTGTCTCGCAGGGAATAATCCAAAGGAAAAAGGGGTGGCTCGGGACTTTCGCACAGCACTGTATAGTTGTAATATTAATAATGTAATCGTTCACATTATTCGCGTATTATGGCTTGTTTTCGATAAATGAAATCACTGAGTTCATTAAAACATTTATTCCAACAACACAACACTGAGCTGAGCCATTATAATGCAGTTCCTTATTTCTAAAAAAAAGCTTTATGATCGTGGTCTAGTCCAATGAAGCTATTAAATAATGACTTTAAGCAAACGGCGAGCTGCAGTGCAGAGAAAATCGCTGCTGTAAAGTCTGATGTGCTGTTTTCTTCTTTATTTACCGTTTTTGTTGTTTTCTCGCTCTGTTTCCTCATTTTCAGGAGGCGCGCTACAGCCCGGAGCGCGAACGTCAAATGCGCGCTCGTTCACGTCGTTCCGTAACGTGGGTCCTAGAGGACGTCCTCTGCTGGCGTCATTTGCGCGCCGCCTAGCTTCCCATGCACTCTCCTTCTCCCGAAAGCCTGCGGATAGATGTTTCGATTTCAGGTGAGTGTAGCTCTGTGGAAATAATCAGGTGTGTTTTCCCGAGGAAGAGTTCCGGTGAGTCCCGGAGAGCTCACGATGACCACAGAGCGCGCGCTGTACGTGCTCGGCGTTCACTATTGTTTATGCGGCTGAACTCGGTGCGGCCTGCGAGGCAGCCCGCTTTCCTGGTGCTGAACCGGGGACGGCGAGCCCTGTCTCGGCCCGTGTGGGTTACAGTACTGTAAAGTAAACCAGCGTCCGCTGTGACAGTCCGGAGTGTCGCAGCGGCCCTGACTGTGTCGTATTCGGCCTCTGAGGGCAGCATTTAATCGACGCGAGTCATATGCGATATCACGTCAGCATTAGCATTGCGGCTAACTCTCTCTCTAACCTCTGCTAGCTGCAGGGTGCCAGAGTGCTGTGATAAGAAACGTTATTGTTCCAAGCAGGTAGTTTAAAAATGGAAGGCTACTAATGGCTTCTCTTGTCAGTACCGTAGTGTTCCTGTTTTGAGTTAATGTCTTCTGCGTTTCATGTTTTTCCCAGTGAAAGCAGGGTCATTGTCTCAGCTAGCTACTGCTAGCATTTGGCCAGTTGTCAATGCTACTCCTAGTATTTACTTACATGCTATAAATGCCAACTCAGGCTGAGGCGTTTCTTTTGCAGCTCAGTTTAGCACACTTTGACCACTCCAAGGCCCAGTGTCGGTTTGAATCAGACTTTCTGGCACCTGGATGGGTTAAATAAAAGTAACTGTCATCACAGGTCCATGTGGCCCTGACAGCACACTGATGATCAGCCAGTTTATACAAGATAATAACGGTGCTGTAAGCTCCAGCGAGTCAGCATTTTATTCATAAAATGAACCGTCGTATAACAAATCTGTCAGTTGCTCGACAAGAATGAATTTACTGCTGCCTCTGAGGACATGCGCAGTGTTTGGTAGGCGTGATCCAGCTTTTTCCAGCTCCGTTTAGATCCAGATACCAACACTGCAGCTTAAGGTATCTGCTAGATATCCACTGATCTGATACCAGTGCTAAAGGAAGTTGTGTTTCTCACTGCGAGGAAGAGACTGGGCATCACTCTCTATGCTTAAGACATCTGGCTTAATTTTAAAATTATATCCTGACCTTTGTAAGTTGACATGGCCACCGTGATCACACCTATTGATTTTCAATCCTATTCGATTTTCAAGTGAAGATTTTCACCGTGGGCTGTCTGTCACAGGTCCTTAAACAATAAGCTTGCCCCGAGTACTCCTCGTTCCTGACACCTGGAATGACCACGTTTAAAAAGTAAACTTAACATAACCTTCTCCCTCACACGGTGCCAAGCTACTACACTTCCAGCACAGTTCCTGAGCCTGGATAAAGTGGAGGGTTTCATCAGGAAACGTAGCACAAGACGGCAAAACAATAAAGAAATATTGTCATCATTTACTTTGATTCAGAGTAAAGCGTGCAAGGCTGCTGCACCTGCATTGTTTGGTGCAATCGTTGCAGTTTCTGTGAATGTATTTTTGAGACCTGTGGGCCATCTTTGATACGTTTTTCTATATTGAGTGTAAACAAGCCTCTGCTGAGAAATTTGTGAAGCTCTTTCAGTTCCTGCGGTAAAGAGTAACGATGCACCCGGATCAATAACAAGATTTATTTGGCGGTATGGATGCTGCCGTTTACTTTCGGCTGCTCCATTAGTTGCCAAGAGGAAGCACAGATTTACGCCGAATGTCCTTCCTGGCACAGCTCTCTCGTTTATCCCGGCTGAGGACGGACACGAGGAGACCCTGAGCAGACCCAGAACATGATGACAAATGAAGTCTTTTGGCTGCTTTGGGAGGATGTAGGTGTCCTCCAGAAGACTGGAGGAGGTTACAGTGGAGAGAGGAGTCTGGGAGTCTTTGTTTAGCTCCTGAGAACCCGTCTGGATAAGCATCGGAAAATTGATGAACATTTTTAAACGTCTTGATGCATCTCAATCATCCAGGAAAGTAAATCTCCAAAAAGTTGATTCTGTTCATCTGGACGCAGCGTTTTGTGGGAGAAACGTTTCGTCACTCATCCAGGTGACTTCTTCAGTCTCAGCTGACTGCAGGTTTCAGTCTTATAAACATGCATTTGCATCATGACTGAAACCAGCCCACTGAAGGAACAATGGGCTGGGAGGTCAGGTCCTTAGTCTTAATTATGCAAATTCTCATGACCATAGATCAACAACCACTGATCAAAGACCATGAGTCCCATTCACAGAGATGTCCTGTTTATACGATTGGGGAAACCTGCAGTCAGCTGAGACTGAAGACGTCACCTGGATGAGTGACGAACCGTTTCTCCCACAAAACGCTGCGTCCAGATGAACAGAATCAACTTTTTAACAGTGTCAGCTTGTGTTTAATGTCTCATCAGTTTTACAGCAGCTGAATCAGGATCATCCCTCACATGGAGGAAGGGCCCTGAAGCAGCAGCAGGACATATTTTAAGCAATAATATTTATGTGTCACTAGTAAAACACGTCAGCTTTTTGAATTGATTGTCTCTGAGACTCACTGAACTGGTTGTGTGTCAGATCGGACACACCCAGAGGATGCTTTTGATTGCAGAGCTCTGAGAATGAATAAGATCGTGGATCTGATTTACTATAAATGTCTGATGGAGCCGTGTGTCGAGCAGGACCATCCACACGATTTAGAGGCCAAGAGGGTTTTTCTCATGCTGATGGAGAGAGGGCTTTGGATGACAACATATCTGCAGCTGTAGAAATTATAATAATATTAATAATAATAAATTTTATTTATAGGCACCTTTAAGACCCTCCAGCTCACCTTACAATAGTACAATAACAGTAGCAATATTATAAAACATAGCAAAATACAAATTAAACATAAGGTTAAAAAAAGCATGAAAGTATAAAAGCTAAGCAAGATCAAACTACACTAAGACAGAATCATGGTGAAGGCTTTGCAGCTCTGAGTGTTGAGACATTATTTTATAGAGTCACAGATTATTCTGACGTCCCAGTCGCAGCTGTTCGGTCACCTCGTCTTTCACATCTGTAGATCTTTTCATCCCTCTTGTCCTCCTTTATTTTAGTCCCTGAATGAAGACTGTATGCTGGAGGAGGAAGATGATGGATTGATAGAAGACGAAGATGAAATCGATCAATTCAACGATGACACTTTTGGAGCCGGGGCCATCGGTAAGAAAGAAACATCTTTTTTTTCCAGTCTGACTCTGTTGTCTAGACGAGGTGAGGTTGTACTGTGGATCTGTCCTGTCAGATCTCCTGGATGTTCGTATTAAACACGCCTGGCTAGTTTTTTCTTGCTCTCAGGCCTGTCGGACACGTCGTGCACACAAATTGCTCAAACACAGTCTAACAATAACAAAATGGAGTAAACCAATGAGCAGCATCGGTTCTCACAATGACTGATAAGTTTCTTTGCTGTTGTGGAGCGTGCAGTGAAATGTTTGAACCATGAAACTGAGTTAGCTGTACGATAGCAGCATCAGCGCGTCAGGAACAGGGTCAGCTCCTTCACTTAGCTCGCAGCATTTCTCAGACTCTGCTCTGACAGGCTGATGACTGAGAGGGTGACTTATACCCTGATTATCTTTGAGTATCTGCAACAACATCTGCTTTTTATTAGCACACAGGCCCAGCTGTTCTCACCTCCTTTCATTCAGTGAGATAAGACTGAATGTGCTGCTGAAGCATTTAACCATGAACAAGTCATTGAACCAAGGATGACATGTAGGCCACAGTTTTACTGGAGTCTTCATTGCTGCTGGAGAGAAACTCATAATTATTTTATATATTACTGGGGAGCTAAATCTGTAATTTATTGGTAGATTTGTATCACTAAGCTTTTAGAACATTTAGACGCTCAAATCGGTGGCTGCTGTCAGCCTGGTTCTTTATTATAAGGAGCGCGGTGCTGCTCGACTGCAGAGAAACCGTATTTTAGATCACACGAGCTCAGTTTCTGGATGACAGTGCTGCCGCTCGTTTACAGCCCCGGTATACTCTGATATTTTCCAAGAGGCCCCATAAACGAGGAGGTCACATGTACGTGCGACCTCTGAGGGTTTGAAGGCGCTCTGTGTGTTTATGAACACGGATTCTCATCCTCACGTCTCTGCTTTTATTTTGTCGGATGGTTTGTGTCTTTGCATATTTGTCTGTGGTGACCTTTGACCTTTCACATGTGATTTGGGGCTGCGCAGATTTGATGTTCTTTGTTTGTTCCAGATGACGACTGGCAGGAGGAACACAAGCGCCTCGCCGAGCTCGATGAACGGGACGAGTTAGGGGCGGGGCTGGGGTTCGGAGGAGGGGGGATGGGAGGGGACTCAGACTTGAGCACAAGCGAGCGCCCGTCCTCCACCCGAATCCCTTCTTCTGTAGTCCATCCCCCTCCACCATCATCCCTCACTTCCCTCTGCTTCTCCTCTTCCTCGTCTAGACTGCCGCCATCAGGTAGGTGATGTCATCAGACGCTGAAGCATCAAGTGGAGATCGGCATCTTTTAAAGTCTGTAATCTCTCACTTCAGATGTGGAGGATCGAGTGGGGGAGGGGGATTTGGCCGAGTCTCTGGCCAGGCTGATCCTGGACGCTGACCCGGCCATCGCTGGAGTCGGGGCAGCTGAGAGACCCGGTCTGCCCCCCGGCTCCTCAGGATCCGGCCTCTCCGCCCTGCGGGGGCTGGACCAGCCCAGAGTCCTGCCGCAGCCCTCCCCCATCCTGCCTCCCACCCAGCCACACCAGCATCCCCAGCACCAGCTGCCTCCCGGGCTCCCTGCGTCAGGTGAGAATGAGTCGACCGCTCAGTGGGCTTTATTTTTAAAGATGTCACCAAGATTTTAATTGCGTGC